CCTACCCTAGACCCGGTCGATCCGGTTCCCGACCCGGTACCGGACCCGGTTCCCCACCCGGATGGTCCTGTTCCCTAACCTAGATCCGGTTCCCTTCCCGGATGACCCGGATGATCCGGTTCCCCGGTCGGATGGTCCGGTCGATCCGGTTCCCGACCCGGTGCCCCACCCGGTTGGTCCGACTCCCGACACGGCCGGTTCGGCACCCCATGCGAATGATCCGGATGATCCGGTTCCCCATCCGGTTGGTCCGGTGGATCCGGTTCCCGGTCCGGTACCCGACCCGGTTCCCCACCCGGATGGTCCGGCTTCCTACCCTAGATCCGGTCGGTCCGGTACCCGACCCGGTTCCCCACCCGGATGGTCCGGCTTCCTACCCTAGACCCGGTCGGTCCGGTACCCGACCCGGTACCGGACCCGGCTCCCCGCCCGGATGGTCCGGCTTCCTACCCTAGACCCGGTCGATCCGGTTCCCGACCCGGTACCGGACCCGGTTCCCCACCCGGATGGTCCGGTTCCCTAACCTAGATCAGGTTCCCTTCCCGGATGACCCGGATGATCCGGTTCCCCGGTCGGATGGTCCGGTCGATCCGGTTCCCGACCCGGTACCCCACCCGGTTGGTCCGACTCCCGACACGGTCGGTTCGGCACCCCATGCGGATGATCCGGATGATCCGGTTCCCCATCCGGTTGGTCCGGTGGATCCGGTTCCCGGTCCGGTACCCGACCCGGTTCCCCACCCGGATGGTTCGGCTTCCTACCCTAGATCCGGTCGATCCGGTTCCCGACCCGGCTCCCCACCCGGATGGTCCCGCTTCCTACCCTAGACCCGGTCGATCCGGTTCCCGACCCGGTACCCGACCCGGTTCCCCACCCGTATGGTCCGGCTTCCTACCCTAGACCCGGTCGGTCCGGTTCCCTTCCCGGATGACCCGAATGATCCGGTTCCCCGGCCGGATGGTCCGGTTGATCCGGTACCGGATCCGGTACCCCACCCGGCTGGCCCGGTTGGTCCGACTCCCCACACGGTCGGTTCGGCACCCCGGTTCCCCATCCGGATGGTCCGGTCGATCCGCCGGTACCCGACCCGGTTCCCCACCCGGATGGTCCCGCTCCCTACCCTAGATCCGGTCGATCCGGTTCCCGACCCGGTACCCGACCCGGTTCCCCACCCGGATGGTACGGCTTCCTACCCTAGATCCGGTCGATCCGGTACCCGACCCAGTACCCGACCCGGTTCCCCACCCGGATGGTCCGGCTTCCTACCATAGACCCGGTCGATCCGGTACCCGACCCGGTTGGCCGGCCCGGTTCCCCACCCGGATGGTCCGGCTTCCCACCCTAGATCCGGTCGATCCGGTACCCGACCCGGTTGGCCGACCCGGTTCCCCACCCGGATGGTCCGGCTTCCTACCCTAGATCCGGTCGGTCCGGTACCCGACCCGGTTCCCCACCCGGATGGTCCGGCTTCCTACCCTAGACCCGGTCGGTCCGGTACCCGACCCGGTACCGGACCCGGCTCCCCACCCGGATGGTCCGGCTTCCTACCCTACACCCGGTCGATCCGGTTCCCGACCCGGTACCGGACCCGGTTCCCCACCCGGATGGTCCTGTTCCCTAACCTAGATCCGGTTCCCTTCCCGGATGACCCGGATGATCCGGTTCCCCGGTCGGATGGTCTGGTCGATCTGGTTCCCGACCCGGTACCCCACCCGGTTGGTCCGACTCCCGACACGGTCGGTTCGGCACCCCATGCGGATGATCCGGATGATCCGGTTCCCCATCCGGTTGGTCCAGTGGATCCGGTTCCCAGTCCGGTACCCGACCCGGTTCCCCACCCGGATTGTCCGGCTTCCTACCCTAGATCCGGTCGGTCCGGTACCCGACCCGGTACCCGACCCGGCTCCCCACCCGGATGGTCCGGCTTCCTACCCTAGACCCGGTCGGTCCGGTACCCGACCCGGTACCGGACCCGGCTCCCCGCCCGGATGGTCCGGCTTCCTACCCTAGACCCGGTCGATCCGGTTCCCGACACGGTACCGGACCCGGTTCCCCACCCGGATGGTCCGGTTCCCTAACATAGATCCGGTTCCCTTCCCGGATGACCCGGATGATCCGGTTCCCCGGTCGGATGGTCCGGTCGATCCGGTTCCCGACCCGGTACCCCACCCGGTTGGTCCGACTCCCGACACGGTCGGTTCGGCACCCCATGCGGATGATCCGGATGATCCGGTTCCCCATCCGGTTGGTCCGGTGGATCCGGTTCCCGGTCCGGTACCCGGCCCGGTTCCCCACCCGGATGGTTCGGCTTCCTACCCTAGATCCCGTCGATCCGGTTCCCGACCCGGTACCCGACCCGGCTCCCCACCCGGATGGTCCCGCTTCCTACCCTAGACCCGATCGATCCGGTTCCCGACCCGGTACCGGACCCGGTTCCCCACCCGGATGGTCCGGCTTCCTACCCTAGACCCGGTCGGTCCGGTACCCGACCCGGTACCGGACCCGGCTCCCCACCCGGATGGTCCGGCTTCCTACCCTAGACCCGGTCGATCCGGTTCCCGACCCGGTACCGGACCCGGTTCCCCACCCGGATGGTCCGGTTCCCTAACATAGATCCGGTTCCCTTCCCGGATGACCCGGATGATCCGGTTCCCCGGTCGGATGGTCCGGTCGATCCGGTTCCCGACCCGGTACCCCACCCGGTTGGTCCGACTCCCGACACGGTCGGTTCGGCACCCCATGCGGATGATCCGGATGATCCGGTTCCCCATCCGGTTGGTCCGGTGGATCCGGTTCCCGGTCCGGTACCCGGCCCGGTTCCCCACCCGGATGGTTCGGCTTCCTACCCTAGATCCCGTCGATCCGGTTCCCGACCCGGTACCCGACCCGGCTCCCCACCCGGATGGTCCCGCTTCCTACCCTAGACCCGATCGATCCGGTTCCCGACCCAGTACCGGACCCGGTTCCCCACCCGGATGGTCCGGCTTCCTACCCTAGACCCGGTCGGTCCGGTACCCGACCCGGTACCGGACCCGGCTCCCCACCCGGATGGTCCGGCTTCCTACCCTAGACCCGGTCGATCCGGTTCCCGACCCGGTACCGGACCCGGTTCCCCACCCGGATGGTCCGGTTCCCTAACATAGATCCGGTTCCCTTCCCGGATGACCCGGATGATCCGGTTCCCCGGTCGGATGGTCCGGTCGATCCGGTTCCCGACCCGGTACCCCACCCGGTTGGTCCGACTCCCGACACGGTCGGTTCGGCACCCCATGCGGATGATCCGGATGATCCGATTCCCCATCCGGTTGGTCCGGTGGATCCGGTTCCCGGTCCGGTACCCGACCCGGTTCCCCACCCGGATGGTTCGGCTTCCTACCCTAGATCCCGTCGATCCGGTTCCCGACCCGGTACCCGACCCGGCTCCCCACCCGGATGGTCCCGCTTCCTACCCTAGACCCGATCGATCCGGTTCCCGACCCGGTACCCGACCCGGTTCCCCACCCGGATGGTCCGGTTCCCTAACCTAGATCTGGTTCCCTTCCCGGATGACCCGGATGATCCGGTTTCCCGGTCGGATGGTCCGGTCGATCCGGTTCCCGACCCGGTACCCCACCCGGTTGGTCCGACTCCCGACACGGTCGGTTCGGCACCCCATGCGGATGATCCGGATGATCCGGTTCCCCATCCGGTTGGTCCGGTCGATCCGGTTCCCGACCCGGTACCCGACCCGGTTCCCCACCCGGATGGTCCCGCTTCCTACCCTAGACCTGGTACCCGATCCGCTTCCCCACCCGGACGGTCCGGCTTCCTACCCTAGATCCGGTCGATCCGGTACCCGACCCGGCTGGCCGACCCGGTTCCCCATCCGGATGGTCCGGCTTCCTACCCTAGACCCGGTCGATCCGGCACCGGACCCGGTTCCCCACCCGGATGGTCCGGCTTCCTGCCCTAGACCCGGTCGATCCGGTTCCCCACCCGGATGGTCCGGCTTCCTACCCTAGACCCGGTCGATCCGGTTCCCGACCCGGTACCGGACCCGGTTCCCCACCCGGATGGTCCGGTTCCCTAACCTAGACCCGGTCGATCCGGTTCCCTTGCGGGATGACCCGGATGATCCGGTTCCCCGTCCGGATGGTCCGGTCGATCCGGTTCCCGACCCGGTAGGGAAGGTAGGGGTCCGTGCAAGGACCCACACCCTCCCTAGAGCCCGCAAAGAACCCCGGTCGAGAACGAAGGTGTGACCCAAAGAATAAAGGGCTCTAGGGAGGGTGTGGGCCCGTCCAAGGACCCACACCCACCCGGGAGCCGTCAAAGAACCGGACCCGTCCCATCCACGGTGGCCCGGTCCGGATCCATCCCTTCCAGGGTGGTTCGGACCGGACCCATCCCACCCGCGGTGTTTCGAACCGGATCAATCCCCACCGGGGAGGTGCGATCCGTATCCATCCCATCCAGGGTGGTGCGATCCGGATCCATCCCAACCCCCGGGCGGGGTTATCCGGATCCATCCCGTCCAGGGTGGTGAGATCCGGATCCATCCCATCCCGAGAGGGGTGATCGGGATCCATCCCAACCGGGGGGGTGCGACCCGGATCCATCCCGCCTAGGGTGGTGGGATCCGGATCCATCGACCCGGCTCAACCGGTTGATCCTGTTCCCCGCCCGGCTCCAACCCGGATGATCCGGCTGGTCCGGTCCATCCGGTTCCCCGTCCGGTTGACCCGGCTCCCCACCCGGTTGATCCGGTCGATCCGGTCGGTCCGGTGAATCCGGTTTCCCAACCGGTTCCGATCCGGTCGATCCGGCTCCCTACCGGGTCGACCCGATCCCTCACCCGGCTGGGGCGGTTGATCCGGTTACCCACCCGTTTCCGGCCCGGTTGATCCGACCGAACCGGCCCATTCGGCTCTCCACCCGGTTCCGACCCGGTTCCCCACCCGTTTTCGGTCCGGCTTGTCCGTCCGATTGGGTCCATCCGGCTCCCATCCGGTTGATACGGTTCAACACCCGGTTCCGGATCCGGGTTCCGACCCGACCGACCCGGATGGTCCGGTTCCCCACCCTAGACCCGGTCGATCCGGTTCCCTTCCCGGATGATCCGGTTCCCCGTCCGGATGGTCCGGTTGATCCGGTTCCCGACCCGGTACCCCACCCGGATGGTCCGGCTGGTCCGACTCCCCGCTACGGTCGATTTGGCACCCCACCCGGACCACCCGGATGATCCGGTTCCCCGTCCGGATGGTCCGGCTGATCCGGTTCCCCGACCCGGTACCCCACCCGGTTCCCCACCCGGATGGTCCGGTTCCCCACCCTAGACCCGGTCGATCCGGTTCCCGACTCGGGTGATCCGGTTCCCCGTCCGGATCACTACCCGTTTTTGGTCCGGTTTCCCACCCGGTACCGCACCCGGTTGGTCCGGTTGGTCCGCTTCCCCACCCGGACCACCCGGATCATCCGGTTCCCCGTCCGGATGGTCCGGTTGACCCGGCTCCCGACCCGGAACCGCACCGGGTTCCCCACCCGGTTGGTCCGATTTCCCACCCGGTCGATTCGGCTCCCCACCCGGACGGTCCGATTGGTCCGGTTCCCCAACCGGATGGTCGGGTTGATCCGGTTCCCGACCCGGTTCCCCACCCGGATGGTCCGGTTGGTCCGGTTCCCCACCCGGTTGGTCCGATTTCCCACCCGGTCGATTCGGCTCCCCACCCGGACGGTCCGATTGGTCCGGCTCCCCAACCGGGTGGTCGGGTTGATCCGGTTCCCGACCCGGTTCCCCACCCGGATGGTCCGGCTGGTCCGGCTGGTCCGGTTCCCCACCCGGTTGGTCCGATTTCCCACCCGTCGATTCGGCTCCCCACCCGGACGGTCCGATTGGTCCGGCTCCCCAACCGGATGGTCGGGCTGATCCGGTTCCCGACCCGGTTCCCCACCCGGATGGTCCGGTTGGTCCGGTTCCCCACCCGGATGACCCGGTCGATCCGGATCCCCACCCGGATGACCCGGATGGTCCGGTTCCTCGCCCGGTACCCTACCCGGCTGGTCCGTTTCCCCACCCGGTTCCCCATCGGGCTTGCCCGGCTGATCCGGTTCCCCACCCCGGATCACCCGGTCGATCCAATTCCCCATACGGATGACCCGGATGATCCGGCTTCCCGTCCGGTTCCCTGTCCGGTTGGTCCGGTTCCCCACCCGGTACCCCAACCGGATGGTCCGGTTGATCCGGTTCTCCACCCGGATGACCCGGATGATCCGGTTCCCCATCCGGATGACCCGGATGATCCGGTTCCCAGTCCGGTTCCTGACCCGGTACCCCACCCGGATGGTCCGGCCGGGTCCGGTTCCCCACCCGGATGGTCCGGTCGGTCCGGTTGGTCCGGTTTCCCACCCGGTCGATCCGGTTCCCCACCCGGATGACCCGGTTGATCCGGTTCCCCACCCGGATGACCCGGTTGATCCGGCTCCCCACCCGGATGGTCCGGTCGGTCCGGTTCCCGACCCGGCACCCCACCCGGATGGTCCGGTTGGGTCCGGTCCCCCACGGGGATGGTACGGTTGAGTCCGGTTCTCCACCCGGATGGTCCTGTCGATCCGGTTCCCGACCCGGATGATCCGGATGATCCGGTTCCCCATCCGGATGGTCCGGTCGATCCGGTTCCCGACCCGGATGACCCGGATGATCCGGTTCCGCGTGCGGATGGTCCGGTCGACCCGGTTCCCCACCCGGATGATCCGGTTGGTCCGGTTCCCGACCCGGATGACCCGGTTTCCCATCCGGATGGTCCGGTCGATCCGGTTCCCCACCCGGATGACCCGGACGATCCGGTTCTCCACCCGGATGACCCGGACGATCCGATTTGGCCTCGCTTTTCGGCTCCGAGACCCCTAGAATCCCTAGAATTGGGCTGAAAAAAACGCTGGGGTTCCCCTGCCTTATGTCCTTATGTCCTTAGTTCCGTCTTCGTCGAGTCAGTCGTCGTCCGTCTAGACCGTTTTGATGGATTTATAAAGAAGGTGTCCCCTTCTATATACATCCATCGGGGGGCCCGGGGCACGCCCATCGGAAGGGAGGATCTCCTTCGATCCTTGGCCCTTCCAGTGTGCGAGCCCTGCGGCCCACCCACCTGAAGAGAGAGGGAGCGACCCTCACCCTTCTAGCAGGCCGGCCAACAACGATCCAGCCAAACCAACCAACCAGCCCCGAGGGGCTCTGCCTACCCTCGATTTCCCATCCCCTCTCACTCTCTCTCTCTCTCACGTATCCCTCCTTCCATTGCCAACGCAGGGATGCGGACCCCTGTTGTCCTCTAAAAGGGGAAAGGGAAGACAAACAAGGGGCCCGCCCGATGCCCTTCTCCGCGGGCATCGGACGCCCCCCCATGCCCACCCCGGCGTTCAGGGTGGGAGGGGGGAAAGAGAGGGGGGGGTGGGTCAAGAACAAGGGCTGAATCTCAGCGGATCGTAGCAGCAAGGCTACTCTGCCGCGTACAATACCCCGTTCGG